TATGGGTGTGTCCAATTACCTCGCATAATCCTTATTTGTTTACTTTTGTCTTACTCTTAAGGTTACTATTCTGAATATTTGTTTGCTGTCACAAATACTTTAATATTATTTTTGCTTATCCTTTTGACTTCAGACTTCAAAAACAGGAGCTCCATTCTTACAAAACAAACAAACAGCCAGGATGATCCAATTTCAAAGTGTTGTTAATATGATTTCCCATTTAACGTTGTTTTAAATGGGATTTACACGTGAGTTGCTTACAAAATCTCCGACCATGGCACATATTAAGAAACTTTAATATGACTGAGTACACATCCCTTCCTATCAATATGCACTCCACACAGGAATACCAGTAACTCATGAAACATTGACCACTTATATACAATCATGCCCATATTTCATCAGTCGTTTAGTTGCTTACGGATCAGTGATTTTAGTATGCCATGTCGACCGATATTATGGCTACGAGTACGAGTAGTGCTCCTATGCTCCTACGTTGTTATTGGTAATCAATTTTATATATTCTCCGCTCTTGGGGTTGTGGTTGTTGTAAATGACAATCTAGGTTCGATACAATTCAGTGCTGCTCTGTACAAGCAAATGTACATTATTTTTGGAGGCTTCAGTAGAAGGAATTTTTTTTAGCAAAACCCAAAAGCGTAGAATTATGGCTTTGAAATAAATACTACTTTTACACTACATATGGCATTGGCCATATGGGCACATACTATATAGTGAAGAAAGCAATGATGTGTGTCTCCACTTGTGCACACATTGTTTGCGGCAGTTCACCAAAGCTGATGCTGGAGTATGCGTCAGTTTGTTTACTTAATTCATTTGTCCCCAACGCGTTAAATGGTTAAATTGCTGTTCCAACACATAAACTTTACATTCGCAATTTTATATACAATTTGGTGCCCTTCTCCTCGCATCCTGATTTTTTCCTAATTTTTAATTTTTTATTTATTCATTTTTTTCCGAGCAATCGTTTAGCAGCCTGCCGCCTCTCGCCTCTCGCCTTTGTGCATTTATATTGGTGCTAACTTGTGATAACGATAAAGATGAAAGTAATTGAATGCTGATTAAATGAAATTAATGGATGTTATAATAAGTTGACATACTGTGTGTGTCAAAAGGAAGTAAACGGGAGCATATAGATAGATGGATGAATGGATGGATGGATGAATGGATTTGTGGGTGTTTTAAGGTTGATGAATGTGGTAGCATTGAATGTCAAATAGTAAGTAGCGAATGGGTTTGGTTGATTAAGGCGTTGGCTCGTTTATTTTATATTGCCTAATGCAGTTGGGCTTTGACTTCTTGCTTCATTTGTGTGCTACTTTGGAAAGTTGATTGTGCTCCTGCTGATTCTGCTGCCACTACTACATCCGCCGTTTCTGTCTGCCTTTTTGTCTGGCAGTGCGTATGGGCTTCTATAAAGCTTGTAACGCAACATTGGTTAAAATGGCTAAAATGGTTAAAATGGTTGACAGTGTCATAATTCAATTTATACACACTTTTCATTCTGTTTTTTCTGTTCTTTGACAGCAGAGAACTTGACAAAGGTTTTCAAAAGTTTGGTTTGCTTTTTATAGATAAAATAAAATAACCAAAGAAAAACAAAAATTTAATGAAATTTAACCACCGTCAGAACTGTGTCTGGTGTGCCTCAAAGCAAATCTGTTCAACGTTAGGAAAGTTGACTCTGTCGAGTTCTGTTCCAACTTCTTTGTGGAACCTTCTCTGTGAATAATGCTATTAAGTGATTTTGTATTGTTGCTTTAGAATTCGTTACTACAGCGTGATTTAAATTGTTTCTTCTGTACAAAATAAAAGTAATTTTAACTTTTAAAAACTGCTTTCAACATTTTAATAAGATTTGAATGTTCACATTCTGGTACTTAGTCATACTTAGTACATCTAAGTTGAACTATTTGCTGTGTAAATGTGTGAATGGTTGCATTTGGAAACTTTTAACCAAAATTAAAAGAGAACAGCGCCCAGCTATGCTGTTATGACAACTGGCTTTGGTTAAAGCTCTTAGCAACTAAGTGCAAAGTTTACTTTCAATTAATGTCAAACATAGATGTATTCGGTCGATAAGCACCCGACATGAAGATAAATTGACACGATTTGGCTTCGATATTAAAAGAGCTCACACTCTCTGTTTAACTCGTTACTTTCAATTAACTCGCTACTGGCTGATAAAACTATATCAAATTCTTTCACTTAAGTGATATGTGCTCACCTCACTGATTGATTTTCTTATGCCGCGACTTTAACATGAATTAACAGACAACTTTGCAGGATTACGCAATTGAAAATCCATTCAAAACTCTCGAAATTGGCTTTCAAATTTTAATGACAATAATTTTCTGCTTATTTTAGTTTAAGTTTATTGCATTTAAATTGCATATAAAAAATTTCATCGATTGAAGTAAAAACAGGAAGGAAGAAATTAACTTTGCACTTCAAAATTTAAAATTTTATTATTTGCAATTTAATCAAATATTTGTATTTAATTAATTACATACAAATAATTATATTGAAATTTAATAGCAATATTTAAAATAACAATTAATTTTTATTTAAAATAACATCACTTATGTATCATGCTAACACAACTCCTAGCTAAATAGATCTGAGCTCAGTTTAACATCTGTTATCATGTTATCATAACCATTATATATCACCTATCAAAGATGAAATTAAACAAATTCAGTATTCACAAAGGAAAAAGGTGATATAACAGTACTTACCTTTGAAAGCATAGTCAGCAAATGGATCGGGTGTCAGAGGTGACAAATTGCACTTTGTGTAATTTTTAAAAATTTCGTTCATAACACCAAGAAGCAAAAACAGGGTTATTTAAGGGAAATAGAATTTTTACTTAATATCTATTGTTATGCCATTCAGTTAAATTTAGGGGCGCAAATGCTACTTCGTCACCCTTCATATTATGAAGTATTATTTTGGTAGCACTTTCAAAAGGACCACAAGCAGTGTGTTCGTATGCCATCCTTGGTTACGCCCATGTTTATCGAACTTCATATTCCAATTCACACTTTTAAAAATAGTAATATATACTGATCACTATGGTCTGTTTGCTTGTTTCCTCCTGCTTTATTATTATGGCCATCCAAAAATACTTCTAAAGTATGAAATGTAAGCAGTCAAACGGTTACTGCGTAGTTGTACACCAACTTAATTACCTGTAAGTTGTTATGTATACTAACCCCTTTAATGTATTGTATTTTATATAAAAGTTATTAAACAGTTCTTCTTCAGATATTCTGATTCCAAAACTAGAGAGTATCTGAAATGAAATTTTTGGTTTACCCAATGATTTTTTTAATGATTTTTCTATCTTGTGATTTAGTCATGTCAAACTTTTCTCTATATACAGTTTTAAACAGATCGCATAGTTAATTTTAGTATACTGATATTAATAATATATATAAAATGTGGAAACAAGCAACTTTTATTCCATTAAATATTATGTAGGTTTAATTATGTACATCTATATATATATAGATACTTCTATATATATAGAAACCTATATCCTTGTTAATGAAATACATCCAGTACATATATTTGATGTGTCGATTTCAAGTCAACGTACTGCTTTGAGATATGCTGAAGAAGATTTGTATGATCTGTTATAAGGATACACAACGCATTTGCTAAAAATCAATTCCTACTTCTCCTTTCCAATTCCCTTAACTGTATTAATGGCGGTCAGTACATATTCAATACAAATAGAAGTAATCTAAAATAGATTATAGACTTGCAATCTCAAAAAACTCACAGTATCACTGTTATTTTTTCTACTTTCCTTTAGAGCATCACTTTCAAATCAGACTAGTTAATTGCTAGTTAAAATATCTTTACCAAAAATAACACAAATCTTTTCACAAATCTTGTTCTTGTACCTTATACCTCCAACTTTTATAGCAAAATTCTGTTGCTGGTATTTGATTTGTTATAACTAAAAACAGAATATTAATTTCAAAATAAAATTTCAACAAATAAATGTAATTAATTAATTGCTTAGTATGGCACTTTAAACTTAAGAGAATATTACTATTATTAAAAGAAGAAGATTAGAGTCTTTCACAAGTTCGATTTCTTAGATGAAAGACAGTATACAGCCTATCTTTCCTAATCTTGAATCCTTTTTATCCATGAAATACCCTAAGAGAATATTAAAATGCCGAATACTTTTTTCCCAATCCAATTTTTATTGTCAGATCCAACACGAACATATTAGTAAACTATCTTTATTAATTAAATTCGAAACAGAAATTTATTTTTAACGCATATTTTCCACAACCCAACAAAATAACATAACGCAACCAAATTTCTGCCATAACGCTTAAGTGATAAAATACCTCACTTCTCCCCGCTTCTGGGTTGCTTGGACGCATAACTTAATAAACTCAAACGTATTAATATTGTTATTCGACAAAGTCCCCTTGTGGGTAATCTGCAATTAATTCCTTCACACATTTTATGTCAAACTGGCATACATCCGAACGCAGGCGTTCATGCGGTGCTCGAGCATGCCGCAACCACGGAAGCAACGGCACCACAAGATTTATTACAGTTACGCTGATTGCTGGAAAAGTGCTTAATGGACAAACCTTACATATTTCCCAGCAGATATAAGAACAAGCACACATTGAGAAGATAGCCAAGAATCCATTTAAATGAACTTGTTACCTTTGAGCAAGAATGCACACGTGAAAGTACGGTGGGAAGTGGAGCGGTTCGAATACATCCGCTTTAAATTATCCTGTCGCATTTGTTGTTGTTGCACACAAGTTGCAGGATCTTAAATTTGCTTTTAATTTAGTTTTTATGTTTTCAGTTTATTTGTGAAAATAACAACAATGCCAAATGCAATTTCTTCCTTTTTTTATTTTCTGCATCTTTTAACCAAAATATCTTAACGTTTCCTGTATTTCATTTTCCTCCTTCTGTTTTCTTGTTTCCTATAGCAATTCTCAGCACGCTCTGTAAAGAATTCCTGCACGTCAACGTCTCTGCCATACTTTACATGATGAATAATGAACAGTTCGGCCATAGCACCGCCTCCGCACAGTACTTTTTACAATTGGCTGGTTATTTGGGCATTCCAGTAATATCCTGGAATGCGGATAATTCTGGTTTGGAGCGCCGTGCATCCCAATCCACACTTCAGCTTCAGCTAGCTCCAAGTATAGAACATCAAAGTGCAGCTATGTTGAGCATACTTGAACGTTACAAATGGCATCAGTTTTCGGTGGTCACCTCTCAAATAGCTGGGCACGATGATTTTGTGCAGGCTGTGCGAGAACGTGTCGCTGAGATGCAAGATCATTTCAAATTTACAATATTGAATTCGATTGTGGTAACGCGTACTAGTGACTTGATGGAATTGGTGAATAGCGAGGCTAGAGTGATGCTCCTCTATGCCACACAAGGCGAAGCCATTAATATTCTTAGAGCTGCTGAAGAGATGAAGTTAACTGGCGAGAATTACGTGTGGGTCGTCAGTCAATCTGTGATTGAGAAGAAGGATGCACATTCACAATTTCCCATTGGCATGTTGGGTGTGCATTTTGATACGAGCAGTGGGGCATTGATGAATGAAATTTCCAATGCGATTAAAATTTATGGCTTTGGTGTGGAAGCATACCTAACAGATCCCATAAATAAAGACAGGAAGTTAACAACGCAATCATTATCCTGTGAAGATGAAGGACGTGGACGATGGGACAATGGTGAAATGTGAGTATACGGATATTCTTTTTTATTTTAATATCCCCTCGTACAAATGCACAATATTGACGCAATATGTTTTTTAGCTTCTTTCGCTATTTGCGTAATGTGTCAATTGAAGGTGACCTCAATAAACCAAATATTGAGTTCACTGCTGACGGCGATTTAAAATCAGCCGAACTGAAAATTATGAATTTACGTCCAAGTGCCAACAAAGGCAATTTGGTTTGGGAAGAAGTAAGTATCCTTATAAAATTTGGTACAAAATCAAAGCAAGTAATCAATTTAATAATTAGATTGGTGTCTGGAAGTCATGGGAGACACAAAAATTAGATATACGTGACATTGCCTGGCCAGGTAATTCGCATGCGCCTCCACATGGTGTGCCTGAGAAATTCCATTTAAAGATAACATTTCTTGAAGAAGCACCCTATATCAATCTATCACCCGCAGACCCAATTAGTGGCAAATGTCTCATGGATCGCGGAGTTCTATGTCGTGTTGCAGCTGATCATGAAATGGCTGCAGACATTGATGTAGGACAGGCACATCGCAACGAATCGTTTTACCAATGTTGTAGTGGTTTTTGCATCGATCTGCTTGAGAAATTTGCCGAAGAGTTGGGTTTCACATACGAACTAGTGAGGGTTGAAGATGGTAAATGGGGTACTCTTGAGAATGGTAAATGGAATGGTTTAATAGCGGACTTGGTAAATCGCAAAACTGATATGGTTCTCACATCTTTAATGATTAACACAGAACGTGAAGCAGTTGTTGATTTTAGTGAGCCATTTATGGAGACTGGTATAGCTATTGTTGTTGCGAAGCGAACAGGTATTATATCACCTACAGCTTTCTTGGAACCTTTCGATACGGCATCATGGATGTTGGTAAGATTAAGTTAAATATATATTTCAAAATAGTTTAGAATTAAATTCAATCATTTTTATAATTTTTAAGGTTGGCATTGTAGCAATACAAGCAGCCACATTTATGATATTCCTCTTCGAATGGCTTTCACCCAGTGGCTATGATATGAAACTATATCTACAAAACACCAATGTTACACCTTACCGTTTTTCATTGTTTCGCACTTATTGGTTAGTTTGGGCAGTCCTGTTTCAAGCTGCCGTACATGTTGATTCACCACGCGGTTTCACATCACGTTTCATGACCAACGTTTGGGCTTTATTTGCTGTAGTATTTTTGGCTATCTACACTGCCAACTTGGCCGCGTTCATGATAACGAGGTTAGTATAAAAAAATCACAAACTTAAATAAACCTTTATATATATATTTTTATTTGCAGAGAAGAGTTTCATGAATTTAGTGGTCTCAACGACAGTCGACTTGTTCATCCATATTCACACAAACCTTCCTTTAAATACGGCACTATACCGTATAGTCATACGGATTCAACTATTAATAAATACTTTAAGGATATGCATTTCTACATGAGGCAGTTAGTATTGCAGTCTAACTTTAATCGTTTCTATGAGTTGAATATTGTGTTGTCTTCTTTTTAGATACAATAAATCCAGCGTAGCAGAAGGAGTAGCTGCGGTACTTAATGGAAATTTGGACTCATTCATTTACGATGGAACTGTTCTAGACTATTTGGTTGCTCAAGATGAAGATTGTCGTTTGATGACTGTTGGTAGTTGGTACGCAATGACAGGTAAATTATTTTTATTTGAAACAGAAGTATTATTAGTTCTTGTCCGTTGGTTGTCAACTGACTTTCGGGTTCGAACAGCAGGTTCAACCTGATGCGATTAGTCTTCACATTATTTATGAGTAGTTCAGAGTAATCGTAGAATTCAGAGCCATGGTTCCACGGAATGTTGATCAGCTTTGCTGTTATAAACTGCAGTATAATCTGTGGCCTTTAGTAGACCATTTTAATGTGTAAATGAACGGGTCTTTAAACGAACTTCATCTAGCTATATGGATGGCTATATTTTTTGTTAGATAACTCAAATCTTTTATCGTAACTGTTTTATAGAACTGAAGGCTAGTATCTATACCATTGTGCTAAAAACGATCATATGATATACTTATTCTCTCATATACGATAGTGAGGAACTTTATTTTATTTAGGTATATCGGTTTTGAAAGCAACCTTGAATTACATCACTAACAATTGTATAAATGTTTAGTTATATTTAATAATTATATATATTTTTTATTATTAACATTTTAAATTTTAATTTTTAAATTTTGAATTGAAAAAGATATATAATTCTTGGACTGTAAGTGCCACGGATAGAACCCTATCAAATTGAACCGTGAACCTAAATGTTAACACATAAAGCCAACGTATCGTTAGCGAAATTTACATTATTCAAATTAAAAGTTTTAATTAATTTTTCATTGTTTTTTAATTAATTTTTAATAATTTTTCTATTTTATAGGCTATGGACTTGCCTTCAGTCGCAATTCAAAATACGTCCAAATGTTCAATAAACGCTTACTTGAGTTCCGCGCTAATGGTGATTTAGAACGTTTGAGGCGTTATTGGATGACTGGCTCCTGTCGACCTGGCAAACAAGAACACAAGTCTTCGGATCCATTGGCGTTGGAACAATTTTTATCAGCTTTTCTCCTACTAATGGCAGGTATTTTATTGGCCGCACTGCTGTTACTACTAGAACACGTTTACTTCAAATATATACGAAAGCGAATAGCGAAGAAAGATGGTGGACATTGCTGTGCACTTATTTCACTCTCTATGGGTAAATCCTTAACATTTCGTGGTGCCGTATTTGAAGCTACCGAAATACTGAAAAAACATCGGTGCAATGATCCTATATGCGATACACACTTATGGAAAGTGAAACACGAATTAGATATGTCACGTTTAAGAGTACGTCAATTGGAGAAAGCATTGGATAAACATGGCATAAAAGCGCCACAATTAAGGTACAATAAGCTCAAGTCTAATTCTACTCTAACTATTGAAAAATAAAAAATATTCCCAATTAGGCTAGCATCATCTTCAGATTTGCTCAATCATCATCACTTGAAAGAACGTCCCCCTTTGTTGGGCAATCTAAGCTTAGCAGCCAGCGCACAAGATTTATACAGGTGGTAAGTTTTTATTACTAATGTGGTATGTGCAACACCCATATTTCGTAGTTAAAAACCCCAACCCATTAGCAAACTATAAACACTTAAAGAGCCAGAGCACGAGTAGTACCGTACGTTTGCTAGCTCCTGCATGCAATCCCAAACCCTTCACTATATCGAAGGTATGTCTCTTTAATATTCATTTACATATTACTATGTTACTTCTAGCGCTAAATAAACACATACATATACGGGTACATTGGATTAAGAATAATTTTTCCTATTATATGTATTATTTTCGATATGTAAACTGACATAGCTTCGCAGCCAACATAACATTGTCTAATTCTATCGTCTTGGTATTGCCAAGTTTTGACTCACGTATACTTTGCCGGCAAGTAAATAAAATTGTGTGGCAGCTTTGTTCACAGCACCAGCTTGTACGATGCTAGCCGATGCCAGTTAATTCATTTTAATATTATTCCAAAGAGATTCCTGGTTCGATAAAGGAATCGCACGTAAGTTATTCACACACTTACAGTTCATTGTTTGAATGAAGTTGTTGTTTAGAACTTAATTTACCTCCTGACGTGCTCCATCGCAATATTCGGTAAGGGCTGTCGACTGTTCTGCTTCGCGACGTTGTATGACTGACGTATCCTACAACATCATCGAATAGGTTTTTATACATTTATGTAAAATAGATTTTTTCCCATAAGCAGATTGTGGCATCCTGGTTTTGGTAAAGGCTTGGCATCGATTTCAAAGTACAAATTTGAACGCTCAGGCATGAGTAAGACATTTTCTGCGCTTCTTCACTGAATAAAGATGGAATTATAATGTATTAATATACATCAGCCTTAATGTCTGTCTGTCCGCACTTCTGCCTGTCTATCTGTCTATTCGTCTGTCTGTTTGTGTGGTAAAAAATTGTGTTCACATTCACATTAATTGCCTCTAAGCAAGCAATATGTAAATGTCCTTATATTATTTGCATAGATGTATATATATATATGTATATATATATTCATATCTCCGAGCAGAGGCTTTTGTCTTCTGAATACATTGAAGGAAAGCGTGGCAACCAACGACAACAGGCTCAGAACAGAACATAGAACATCGGTCGGAAGTGGGTGGTATGAGGAATGTGGAATGAGGGGTGTGGTGTGGTGTGAGGTAATATGCGATACAAGGAACAAGTAACAATAAAAACTCTATTGTTTAGCCTAATTTTTCCTGCTACTTTCATAAAATAAAAGAAATTCCTTTTAATTGTGTGCCGATTTGTAAAGAAATTTTAGAAATTAGTTTGTTTGCTGCTGTTTACTTTCAGAAATATGTGTGAGTGAATTTGTGTATCGGTGTGTGTGTTTCTGCGTCCTGTGCCAGGATGTCTGCTGTTATTAGGTACAATACCTTGTATAAAATGAAAATAAGAAATTAATTAAAATTAATGATGAGTAACTGTTCCTGGTAATTTTTGCTATTGCCACGCAGATAGAATATATAAATATGTATCGCATCAATTTTTTCAGAGAAGTCTTATCAGTATTTACCTGAATTTATTTTATAATTAACAAGATGTTTTTAAGATAAATCAAATTTAAGTTTTTTAATAAAAAGCTGACGGAAAGAAAATGTTAGTATCGGTTCAGTACCTTATATATTTATTAAAAATATGAAATCCTACAATCACACAATAATCGGGACCTCAATTGAGTTCAAATTTTATAATTTAAGGAAAAATTATATATTAAAGTAGAAGTGGAAGTATATATTAAAGTAGGAATCCTTAAAAATTTTTGTTAAATATGTTCAAAAATATTGCCAAAAATGCTTAAAATGATTTACTTCTTGGTATCTTGTTTTTATACTCTGTATAAATATAATAGCATAAAAAGATATATTAACCCTGTTAGGTAATTTACATGATAGCGAGCCTTTAAATCCCATAGAACCTATGAAAAAGTTCTTCTTTAGAACGAGCTGATACAAGCAATTCAATGTTTTTTGAACTAGATGAATAAAATTTGGCAGATATTGTTTTTGGTAAGGAACCTTACCTTATGTATATGTAAATAGTAAAGATCGGAACTCAGTTGCGATAGACGAACTGAGTTATTCTTAGAGAGATGATTCTTTGGTTCAAGGGACAAGGTAAATGAGGAACCTTACCATATGTATATGTAAATAGTAAAGATCGGAACTCATTTGCGATGGACGAACTGAGTTATTTTTAGAGAGATGATTCTTTGGTTCAAGGGACAAGATAATTGAGGAACCTTACCATATGTATATGTAAATAGTAAAGATACTCAGTTGCGATGGACGAACTGAGTTATTTTTAGATAAATGATTCTTTTGTTCAAGGGACAAGGTAAATGAGAGTGAGTATATATTTTCAGTATCGGGCTAAATATATTTATATAAATAATAAATTTTCGTATAAGAATATAAGTATTTCCATTTTAAGATAACTTTTTTTGTCGAATGTGACGCGTGATATTTTTTGGAGATAATTTTTATATAACTTGCACCAAAAAATTACGTTGCAGGTGTCGGGATCTCTAAAAAGATACATCGTGTATGTAATAACATATAAGATATCCTGTCGATTATAATATCTCCACGAATCATAGACTATACAATATTATTATATTATATTTATAAAGAAAATCTGTATTTTACTTTATATTAAAAATTAGACTATTTTAAATTCAATAAATAATAATTAAAATTAAAAACCCCATTTTGGAATGTAACTGTTTAGTAGATATCGTTTCTATTTCATTGATCATTTATTTTCTTATAATTAATAATAATAAATGTTTCATTTACTTCCTACAAAGGTCCTACAAAACTGAGATAGCAGAAATGGAGACAGTGCTTTAAAGTGTTATTCACACACCCTGTAGAGAGCTCAATTTTTAAATCAATGTTAGAGATCTTAATATTGAAAAATATTAAATAAACAATATATAATATATATATATATGAAAATAAAAAAAAGAAATATTTATATTAATTATAAATTAAAGAAAGAACACTTTTGAAATAGCAATAAGTTAACAATGAAAACAACAACTGCAAAATTATTATTATAATATAAAGAAAAAATTTACAATTTACATGTGTACGTAAAACTTTAAAAAAATTAAAAATTATATATACATAAAAATTATATATATATATATAAATTAAAACAAATATATGAAAAAAATCAAAATAGTTTAATGAACTTAAAAAAACAAAAACCAAAACCAAAATTGAAATAAAAAACAAATAAAAATAAAATTATGAAATTATACTTATGAAATTCAAATGTCCTAAAGCTTCTAACTAAAATTAATTAAATTAAATTAAAGTAAAGTGAAAGGACGAAGTTGTTTTAGCTTTAAATGGCAAAATTAAATGAAATATCTATGAATTCAAGAAAAAATTATTAAATAATTATAAATTAAACATTTTTGCTAAAAACATAAATAAATAAAGAGAATTAACTAATACAATATTTAAAATTTGTTGTTTAAGGCTAAAGAACTTCAAAGGCTTTTATTACACGAAAAACTGAAACTTACACTGCAAAAAATGTTTAACATGAAAAGTACGTAAAAATAGCAAATGAAAGAAAATTAAATCGAAACTTAAATGAAGAACGCATAATGAAGCTTAAAGAAAAACTTAATTAAATTTATTAAAACATAAACTAAAATATTTGGATAATTATTATATTTATATTGAAAAATTTGTTATTTCTTTACATTAAAAAAATGTTGTGAGTCAAATTGTTGCTTTATGTAATGTTAGTAAGTGCTTTTAACAATAATTTGCTTTACACATTCAAATAAATAAATTGCTTATTTTGTATTTTAATGTAGAATCTATTAATCCTATTACAAGCCCCGATCCGCTGTTTTCCCCGCGCTCGCACTTATAATGTATAAGTATTTTTAGTAGTGATTCTTCTTGTGTCCTTCTTAGCTATGAAACGATTTTAATGCAAAGAACATAAGCCAACACTTAAACAAAAAAAATTAATCTAAAACAAATTAAAATAAATATAATTCTAATTAATAAAAGAAAATATTAAATAATCGAAATGTTAAAAAGTATAAATAATTAGTGTGTTTAAAGAAGTTAAATTTTGCCAATTATTTGTAACTTAGCAATATACGAACTCTAGAGACGACATATGTGGACTTACCGCTAGATCTTAACCTACTATCCAAGTAAACTACAATATTCTATAATATCATTGAAGTCAACTGAAGTATAAGAAAATATTTCAAGACTTCAACATTGGAGTCTAAATCCTTGCTCATTAGCTACTAACTAACTACAATTAGGTATCATATTTAAACCATCTCAAAACAGTAAAGTATAATTAGAATTGATCGGACATACATCACAAGCTCGTCTTCTACAAGAATAAAATATCGTATTTGAACCATATTAAAGCACCTGTAGAAAATATAGTAATTTCTGATTGTTTAAGGTTTAAGGTGCGAGTGGATCTATATCCCATGTCCATTTATTTATGACAATTATTTACAACTTTGTTAGAGAAGTGATAGTTTTTAGATTAGCACAAAATTCGTATAGTTGAATTTAATAGGACTTTATCTAGTTCATATGATTGGGGGGTCAATTTATTCAGTTCATTCCTTAGAACATTTTAAAAATGTCTAAAATAATTTTAACATAACGAAATCTATGTTGCTATTGTTATTGCAACCTATCTGGAATTTTTAGAAACCCTCAGGCAAGCCTATTATTCTCAAAAGAACGAAGTCATAGACCAATTCGCTGTAAATTGATTGTGTAGAGAGTGGAACAGAAAATATTTAATTTGGTGCTGGCATTAGGAACGTATTCGTCTCAGTAGTATGAAGTCAAATATCAACTCAATGTAAGTTTGAGAAGACAGTGGAATGATTCAGTAGAAGCAAAATTATAGTTTTTATAGTTATCCAGAACTCATGGATTTCTGCACATGTTAATTAGTTTTGTAAGTAGTCCAAAATAAAGAAGAAATCTGGGCTTAGAAACTTCATCGTCATCTATAGATCAATTTGACTCAAGTTTGTCGTAATAGCAGAACAGTTTGACAGATAAACGATAAAGAATTGAAACTTATTAGAATCCTTGAACTTCGGTATGTGTCAATACTTGTTTTAAAAGATCTATTAGCACATGTGTAATTGTTATTAACTGTATGTAAAAAAAAAGTTTTTCCCATAAATAGTATATGACATTTTAACAAGTATTTATTTTCACTCTTCACCAATCTCCTACAAACATTAATTCATGGGTACTTAGCGTTAGCTGCTTATTCCTAGAACTTTATATAATTCATCTGACATTTAATTGGCCGAATATTGACTTTTAGATGCCGTATTAAAAAATAAAACAATTAAAATTATATATTAAAAATTAACCTGTGTGTAGTTAAAAAAAACAACATTAAAATACTTGAATACTAAAAATAAAAACTTAATATTAAAATTAATAAAATATTTATATAACATATATACATATATTAAATTTTACGTTGGTATTTGTTGAGGTATTTTCATAAATATTGATTATTGCTAATTAATATTATGAAAAGGTCGGAAAGCATTAAATTTATATATTTTTTAATATTTTATTCTTTCAATGCTTTATATATTTAGTTCAATATTAAATAATAAATATATATACAAGTTTCTCTTTCTATATTTCTTTTAAGTTTTTTTTTCTCTTAAATGTATCTGTTAGCATACCTATATTCCCGACTCTCTTTAATCCTTTTATTTTAATATACAATACTATAATATACAAATAAAAATTAATATTCTAACTAAAAACTTAATTAAAACTTAATACTTATTGGAGAAAGTGGATTTTTAATCAATTTTTAATATTTTTTATTTTTAATACTCAATATTTATATTTTTAATATAATTAATTTATGCCAGAGAATTGCTTTTTTTTAATTTTTTATTTTTAATACTCAATATTTATATTTTTAATATAATTAATTCATGCCAGAGAATTGCTTTTTTTAATTAATAAAATATAGAATAGTTAATAACACTAATATACATTATATCTGTATTTATTATTTCTTTTTTAATATAATTAACTAACTAAATAGCAATTTACAATGTTAATCATTTATTTTTAATTTTTATTATTTAATTATATTACAATACTCTTATTATGTTATTACCATAAATGCAAGTTATGGTTTTAATAAAAATTTTGTAAGTCTTCTTTATAAAATAATAAACTGATATACTTTATCGTTCTTATAATACTTTTACTTTATTATTACCAAAAATGTAACTTTTATTATATATGAGTTATATTATTATTATTTCATATTACATCCACATCTTTTCCTTGTAACCTAAACAACAAATTTAAAAACAAAACATCAAACGCTTATTATATATTATTAAAATAAACATTAAATATACATTTATATATATATAAAGAAAAAACAACAACAACATACAAACAAAGAAATTCACCCACAAACAGAGAATGATTTTATTTTAGCAATAAAATTAATATAAGAAAGTATATATGTATACATTGTATTATTATTATTATAATTATTATGTAGATATTTTTCAATATATATTAAATATATAAAAATGAAATTGTAAATTTCTGAAAAAAAACTCTACAGCTAAAAGTAAAATAAAATAAAATTTTTTTACAATTTATTTAAATAATAAATTTAAATATTAAATGTAACACAAAATAAGAGGAAATATGTAAACTATATGTGGTCGTTTTTGTTAACAATTTATCAAAACTAAATAATTAAGTAAATATTGTATGAAATGAGAATAAAACAGCATATTTAACAATTATATTAAAATTATTAAAACAGAATGTTGAATATATTATATGTATAAAAAAATATTTATTATATTATATATGTAGTTAAATTAAATTATATTTAAATTTTGAAAGAGAAACTATTTATACATGTTAAATTTAATTACATTAAAATATATTGACTCAAATTATTTTTTATTATTTACATATTAATATATAAAAATAAATTTGTTTTTTTTTCTTAAGTTTAAAATAATTTTTCAGATAAGCATTTTAATAAAAAAATAATTTTTTTTATTATAAAAAATATATTTCAAAATAAAATTGCACTGAGAAATATGATGGAATTATATTCATTATATATATAGAATTAAATACCTATTTATTTTTAGTTGCAAAAAAAAAATTTAAGTTTTGTATATGTATTTTATATATATTTTTATTTCAAAATTTTACTAAATGTTTTTAACTATTTTCGGGAATTGTCATCAAATCTTTAAAAATTAAAAACTAAAAACTAAATTATTAAATTAAGTATATGAACGATATGAAACGTTATTGACAAATTAAAAAGCAAAACAAGTTAACATTATATTATATAAGTAGTTAGTAATGAAAAAACCAACAACATTTAAAACAAAAAATTATATATAAAAAACAAACACAAAAATAAAAACAAAAACAAATATATGTGACACAAAATTAAATGTAAAAAATATATAAAATTTGTCAGCAAAAATATTAAAGTATGTTATTATATTTTTGTTGTGAACAAATATATATATATATATGTATATATATACATAAAATTATTAATATTTTTTTCTTAACTCTTAAGTCAAAAATTAATAAAATTATACAGTAAACAAAAAATAAATATATAGAAATATATATATATATATAAATGTGTTCGAAATTTTGTTGTAATCTGTGTGTATGCTGCATATTCACATATAAACATATAAGCAAAACAACAACAAGTAAACACATTAAATCTGTTATACATTTTGTTAATTTCATATAAAATAATTTATTAAAACAAGAGCAACAAGCAAATTTAAACAAATTATATAAATAAATGTTTTAATTCATGCGCATTAAACATTGTGTAATTGTTCTAAAAAAATTATATATAAAAAATGCATTAAAAATAAAAAAAATAATAAAAATCATTTAAACAAAAAAAACAAAACATTAACTAATAATAATTAAGAGAAAACTTTAAACTAAATTGTTGTGGTAGACACTGGAGGCAGTAACAATGCAATAAATGTATACAAAAAATTATAAAAATATAAGTTTTATTTTTATTTTCAACAAAGCAAATATGCAATATGCATTTTCTAAGAATAAAGATATATAACAATTAAGAATCGGAAATAGACTTAATACCTTTGTTAGTAGATGGCGCAAAGCATTGAATGAGGTGAAAGTAAGTCTTGCTTTTAAATTCACCACAGTTAAAACTCAACATTCTATAATTCCCTAAAGAGCGATGCAGACTAACATGCAGACTATTTTGAGTGTCATTAAAGAGAAAAAATCCATGAATGACACTCAAAAATGATAGTCTGCACCTTTGAATGACACGCAACCAACAACCAAAATTTTGGTGAGCACATCATTCAGCTTCTCGCCAACATGTTGTGAATGGTAATCTGTCACCCAGAAATTTGCATTTGTCATTCAAGAGCATATTTTTGCGTGGTTGCACTTACACACTTATAATGTGCGCAAACACCCTTATCTTCAGAAATTTTGCTAGAAGAAAATCAAACAAGAGAGAGCGCAACTTTTATGACATGCAAAAATGATATCCTACACCGCACTTAAACATAATTAGTCGTAAGAAATAAAATCACTAAATGTGAATTATTGCATTAAGCAAAAATATGCAGATTTACTAAGCTGTATAGTTTTTGAATATCAGCCGCGAATTAGACATCTTAGAAAATTAAATTTAGTATTAGTAATTTTTAAATTCGTTTAATAAAATTTTAATGGTCATCTTAAAAATATATATTTTGCGCTTTAAGTTACGACACATATTGTGCAAAACAAACTAACAACAATTTTAAATATTCCCGAAAGCACCCATATCTAACCAAAAGTTAAGTGATATGAAACTCAATCTGCTAAGCTACCTTATAATTCTCTGGATATGACCATAGACCTGGTGTTCTTTAGCAAACAGTTGTATTTACCATATCTGCATCACCTACCACTCATTTTTTTTTCTTTGCGGCTCGAGTCAAGAGTTGCTTCGTTAAATACTAAACGATAGGCATAGCATATTCCGTCATAGCACCATTTAATCATTGAACAGATATCACTTAAATCCAATATAAGTGCAGTAGTATGTGGATACAATCGGAAGAGAATCTGAATGAAAGTGGATTGATATTATAATGTTCAGTACTGATTTTTGTAGGTGTTATTATTAAATGTTTATGCAACTTAGTACACAAATATAGTAACGTAGTACTCTGAAATTTTAAAATTAATTTCTAAAATATTTATATATCACATTAAAATTAAAATATATTAATAAACACTTTATATTACTACACGTATTGTTCACAAATATACAGATATATTTGAAATATCTTTATATATTTTATAGTTCCTTCATTTCAAATGATATATTTTTAATAAAATTGTGGTTAGAACTACCAAAGAATGGCTGATCGCTTACCTGAAGAACCAGTTAAAAATGCTAAGATCAATATCTCTAAGTCTGTGATGAGAGTTCAAGAAGCTTTTCATTTACTAGATAGAGAAGGTAAAGGTTATATACTAACTTCTGATGTAATTTCCATAATGAAGTTACTTGATATGACGTTGAGTGATCGAGATATAAGTGCTATTATCCAGTGCTCAGGTGTAGATGACGATGGAAAAATAACGTGTGATGACTTCATTGCAAAAATCATTACCAAATAACCAAATGGTAATAACAAACCAAATAATGGAGTTCTTAATGTGAATTACAGGTTCTCAATTTAAAAAATAAAAGTTTTGACTGGAAGTGAAAATATGTTTTTCAGTATTATTTATTTGTAAATGAGTTCTTATACATCGAATTAAATAGCAAATTGAAAATTGAATGAACTGGCGATTTACAATTTAAATGTAATCTTAAATACATCCAAGCAATGAAGCATGTCATTATATTAAACTGACAATAAGTTTATGTACTTGCAGATAATACGTCCTGTTTTATTTATTTAATCGATCAATTACATTCTATGTATTTCCTCAAGCGTGCAAAAGAAGCTGCTGTGTTTATTGACCCATTATATTTTGACTTATCATATCTATTTTACGGCGTCTGTAGAACCAAATGGTTTAAAAATAGAAATAGATAACAAAAGGAACTAAATTAAAAACAATCATAAATATCTCGAATCAGCTGACAATTCTAGGGTCACTACCAAATTTTGGACAAACCCATTTTGTTAAACTGACACCGCAGACCATGGTGACCCGTCGTGGCCACTCTTTAGCCTGACGCTTTCTCTCGGCTGAAAACCATCTATCAGTCAGACACCTAGTTGTGGATCAACTTAATCCACAATATGGCTACGGTCCACAGATTTGAATGTCAGATCCTGGCCTTGCAAGACTGTGGGAGAAATTAATAAAAATAATAATATAATAAAATAATAATATATATAATAATTTTATATATTATATATAATAATGTAAAATATAATAATATAACCCTAAATTCAAAGGAAAAAATTTAATAATATTTAAACATAATAAATAAAAAAAGGCCAATATAAACATTTGACAGGCAATTAAAAATGCAAATTATATGCAGAACCAATATGTTCTCAATAGCCCTTCGTACGGTATAACTTGAAAGTTTTTGCTTTATTTTTTGACGTTTTCCATTTCCTCACTTTCTTTTTGTGCGCGGCAACCATTTAAACATTGCAAGCGTTTGTTTTGTGTTCAGTTAATTTTTGTGTTCAGCAAATATGGAGAAGCCAAGGTAATATTCATTGTTTATTTATATATTATACATAAAATTTATTATTTTCAATTATTAATTTAAAAATTATATTTTTAGCCCAACTTTAATCCAAAAAATCGCTAAAGAAATTATTAACACTGCTAAGAGTAACATGGCCACTCTTACGAGTCACGAATTGGGTACTATTATACATTCCCTTGGTGTGAAAACATCTGAAGATGAGTTACAAGCCTTAATTGAAGATATGCATGCTAATAGCAGCTCTTTGAGTAACTTGCATAAAAATATTTTAAAAATACCACGTAGAATTTGTGACGATGAATACAAAAAGGAAATTCGTGAAGCTTTTCGCTTATTAAATAAAAGTGATGAAACCTATGTCCTAAAATCTGATCTAATTTCTATTATTAGATCAACGGGTATAACCTTGACTGATGAAGAATTCCATGAAATCATCAAAGACGCTGGGCTTGGCGATGGTGACAAAATAACCTATGAAGATTTTATAAATAAAATGCAATTTCCTAAAAAGCCACGTTGATGAACTTGATGCAAATAAATTTATCAAATTAAATAGAAATTTAAATGTAAATTAAAATATCTCACAAAATAAATGATAATTAACTAAATAATTTTATTGAATATTTGAATAATTTTCTGTTTAATCATACTAAAGTAATTCACATAAGCAACTAATATAGCGAGGCATGAACGTAGTAGTCTGAAATAAAAATGTGCCCGAGCTCAAATAATGGCCCATTATGGTACCACAGGTACGTACATAGATTTAAATCAGTATACCGCCAACGCCGAAAATGTGGTAGATCCACCGTAATAATGTGTTGTAATTGATATAATAATAACATATTATAGAGCTTCATTGATTATAATCATGTCATTAGCTATTTTGTTTGCCATCTTCTGCACAGCTTCCTGGCTACACTCTGATGCTAAACAGACCGTATACTCATATATACATATATACTGTTGTGGTTTTAAAAAATATGGAAATTAATCATTTTAAAGGAGGTTGTAGACACAGAACGTTATTTTTAATGCTGAAATAGTATTAATAAATACTGAAATAAATAAAGCTAAATGATATAAAATTTTGTACAACTTATTGTCAATGAAATAATTTCATTTTATTTTTTTTTACATATATAGTTAGTTCTCAATTAAAATAAATTGCTTAGTTAAACTTTCTTATTACGAAATAAGACTACACATCAAATAATGCAATATAGCAAGTAAATATTTTAGTGAATCTTTAAATTTTATATATCAAATCTAACATTCACAGTTTATAATTCCTGCATTTATTGTGAATGCCCCCTAAACTGTTCCCATTCTATTATTACGGCTGTCACTTAATACGTCATGCAACAATAAAACGTAACGTCGTTGTCAAACGTGGAAACATGTTTCTCTGTCATTTCGTTATCGCTCCCAGTGGCATCGACAACGTAAGTCCACGCAAATTTTTTTTTAAATGTTGAAAGTTCTTAAAAATTTTAAAATATTGACAATTTAATTTGTTAAAATTGTTTAAAATGTTGTAAATTATATATATTATTCTTTAAATGTTAATTGTTAACAATTGTAACTATGACACGTGGCGGCGTCATGTCTACAACTATTGAGGTTATGTTAAATGGATAAAAAAAATTTTTAATTTTCAGGTTCCGTAACTCTAAATACGTTAAAATGTCGGGAGGCTTAGATATACTATCCCTTAAAGAGGATGATATTACTAAAATGTTGGTTGCTACCACCCATTTGGGTTCTGAGAACGTGAACTTCCAAATGGAACAATACGTTTACAAGCGCCGCCCTGATGGCATCAACATCATCAATTTGGGCAAGACCTGGGAAAAATTGATGTTGGCTGCACGCGCAATTGCTGCCATCGAACATGCACAAGATGTAAGTTATAAAATAAAATTAGTTTTTAATAATAAATTAGAATTTTATATGATGACTATTGTTATCTTTCGGGTCTGAAATCTAATGAAGTCAACCACAACGCTGATCAAAATAAACATATATACACTATGTGTCTTTTAAAGCATCTATTGATATATTTTCATTTTACTTGCAGGTGTACGTTATTTCATCTCGTCCAATTGGTCAACGTGCTGTACTTAAATTTGCTAAGTATACCGACACTACACCAATTGCTGGTCGTTTCACTCCTGGTGCATTTACAAATCAAATTCAATCAGCTTTCCGTGAACCACGCCTATTGGTTGTAACTGATCCAAACACCGATCACCAACCTATCATGGAAGCATCTTATGTCAACATTCCAGTTATTGCCTTCTGCAATACTGATTCACCATTGCGTTATATTGATATCGCTATTCCATGCAACAACAAATCTCCACACTCAATTGGTTTGATGTGGTGGTTATTGTCGCGTGAAGTGCTCCGTTTACGTGGTACCATCTCACGTAATGTCGATTGGTCCGTTGTAGTAGATTTGTTCTTCTACCGTGATCCAGAAGAAGCTGAGAAGGAAGAAGCTGCTGCTAAAGAACTTATACCAGCAGCTAAAATTGAAGAGATTCCCGAACATCCCGTCGAAGAAGCAACCAACTGGGCTGAAGAAGTTGCTGCTGAAAATGTTGGCGGTACTGAAGATTGGAATGACGATGGTGTTAAGAACTCATGGGGCGTTGATGGCAACTTCTAAAGTTTTTTTATATGTTTTAAAACATAGCGCCTGTAGTGACGTTGCAACAGCAAAATAAACACATTTTTTCATTTCCGAAATAATTGTTTTTGTTTTTAAATATTTATATGCAAGTATTATTAGTTTGTTTAGTTCCACAATATCTTATTAAGATTAATTAGTTTAAGCTATTCAGGAAAAATGGAATTACGATAATCAAAAACATTTGATTTAAATAATCGTTTTAGGACTAGCTGACTTCAACGTCAAATGACTATCAAATAGGCACGGCACTCAAGCCTTAGTTAACATTTACATTGTGTACAATTAATTTTTTTTTTTTTTTGAATACCTAATAAAAATAACGTTCCTTATACATATTTATAATTCCGTTTAACTGTGCAACATATGCATAAGAAATGTTAAAAAATTGTATCCACAATTAATGATAGATTTTAACTACCATATGTTTTCGACTTTTTTCATACCTTTAAACCCTCTTAAGGCATATTATTGCTTGCTGGATCGTAAGGTAGATCTAACAACCCGTAAGCATACTTAAATCTGAATAATGGTAAATGTAGTAAAATAAATTAATGGCGATGAGAAGAAACGTTTAATGAACCTTATTACAGATCGCCATTGGGGTACCATAGCAATTGAAGGGTCGCAAGTGTGAAGGCACTGGAATATTGAATATAATCCATATTAAAACTTACAAATGAATTATATATGTATGGTAGTACAGATATGTATGTGTGGTTGTACGATAGAACGGAAGCACAGTGCTATGAACTGTAGAATTGAAGACTGGATTTGAAAACATCGTTCATTTGGCAGTTTTGCTTTACATTAACCATTTTTTTCCTGATGTAAACGGACATTGGTTGTTGGTTGTTTACTTTATATTTGAAATAAGTTAATTAGTTCAACAATTTTTTAAATTTTAAATATTCTACACTTTTTAATCAATATATAGTGAAGAGAAAAAATTGCCATTGTCAAATCGAGGTGCTTGAGCAATCGGTCATAACAATTACAAATATAATATATAATTTTACAAATATATAATGTATAAATATATAATATAACAATATATAATATAAATATATATGTATAAATATTTAAAGCTACAATATATTCAACCACGATTTCGTATCAGGGCTGATAGCAGGCACCTTCTTAAAAAAGCTGTAGACACTATCGGAAATATGAGCCATATGGACTCCTTGCATCGCAAAATGACGAATACATTAGCTGATAATATGTGGTTTAATAGAAATGAATTTAATATTGTTATGAAAGTCCATTATTGAAGAATACCCCCCAATGAATTTGCTTTCATATTTATTACTTATTACGTATGGGAATATATCAAGAAGAACTACAAATTGCAGAAACATAAAGAATGTTAGAATCTGTGTTTAACTATAATATCGCATTAGATATCATAGCATAATATTGATCTATGCGCCTTTGTCTGCCTGTTTATCTGCTCCTAGTGAATATCTGGATATTTTGGCAGTTGCGAACATTAAAAGTAGTTCTCTAGAATGTTGACTTGACCAGTGTCATATCCCGCTCAAGCTTCAATTAATGGCGTTTTTTCTAATAAATTGTATTTATTAAAAAATAAATGGTTATAAATGTCACGCAAGAGCCAACTGAAGCACTCATTTTGAAAAATTGTAATACTTTTTTAATTACAATAAATTGAAGCCAGTCCACACGGTCTTGTAATAAGTGGATTATTACATCCATATTAAAGGTACATATTGAATGCAGTCTTTTTTCAAAACTATTAACTTTTTTAAGGTTTTAAATTCTAATTTCAATTTCTAAAATTCTTTTTCAATTTTGAAAATACAATTTAAATGACTTTTAAATACTTATTATAACTTATTTTCAATAGCTTGTACTCTATCTCTATATCAGGGCTGCCAAAAGCATGACCCACCGCAACATGTTTTAATCTACCACAATTAGACAAATTTTCTTTTGGTGCGCTTTGGTAAACTTGCATTATTTTATTTTTATGCTATACCAAATAAATGTGTTTTATATTAACAAATTAATAAAACAAAATTTAATATTTATTTATTAATAACTGTATTTTTACTTTTCTCCAAAACAACTATGAAAGTATGTATTTGTTTCTGTGACCCTCCAATCTGTACAGTGATTTGTATCGGACTGTGATCGCATCTGGTCTGAACAACAGCCCTGCTCTATACAGTAATCCACCTATAACGCGGTAAATTGGTTTCACGTTATAGGGGTATTCCCGTATACCACTTATACACACGTGAAAAGGTACGCGAAGCTAATTATGAACTGTTCAAATCCCCGCGTTATACGGGGCATTGAAATCACGTAATATGAAGACGCGTTATATGGAGGATTACTGTATTACTAATCAAGTTAATTTCATATTTTAAAATTTAATAGAATGTTCCAAATTTTGTAAAAAATAATTATTTATTTCAATATTATACAAATTTAATAAATTTATATATATATTTATATAGATATTATATAAGTAATAACATTTCACAATTTTATTAACAGTAAAAATTTATATTTATATTGCCTAGACGAAATTTTAATACATTTCTTGTTAATTAGTAGTATTTCTAAATTTAATAATTAAAATGCAATAAACTTAAAAACAAATTATAAGGAAAACCATTTCATTTGGGGTGAAATTAAACATATTTAAATCTTTATGTAAATAAATTAAATTTTAAATTCAATTAATTTTTATATGGACGCAGACGCACAAAAATTAATTTTTAATTTATTTTATTTGTTTGATTAGTATAATTATTTAATAATTTTTTTGTTTATTTTTTTTTTGCAATAAAATAAAAATGAATAATTTTCTTTTCTTTATATTTTGTTGCAAATTTTATTTTATTTAAAAGTAGGTATTATTACATATTATAAAATATAAAATTGACAAATATTTGATATTTTGTAGATATTTTTAAATTACTTAATGTTTTTTTTTTGTAAGATTAAGTCTAATTACTTTTGTTTAGTTTTAATAATAGTGACGGAATTAAAATTTAAATATGCATTAAAAGAAATAAAATGTTATTAAAAAAATTTAAATATCTTAAACATTTTAACATTTTTGTTAGTTATTGTTTTTGTTCGTAAAATGTGTATTAAATAAAAAAAAATATTTTATTTGAATGGATTTGGACGAGCTTTGAACGTTGTTAACTTCCTCAATTCTTTTACACGATCTTCCTCACGCTTTTTGCTTTCCTCCTCCTTCTGCAAATAGAAATAGAATATGAAAAAATTAATAAATATCTAAATTAGTAAGAAACTTGTTCACTTGTATTTATTTAGTTAAACAATTAATAACATATTCGCTAACAAGAAAGACGATAAAGATGATCACGATCGGATCGTCAAGCCACACACATAAGAGAGTTTCTAAAAGTATCTAAAAAAAACATGCGAGATACGAGCGAGCGTTTTGTTTCAGTCGTTGATTACTTTAATCTACATTCCCGACAATTATAGATAAATTTGTTTAACTACAACAACAACAACAACAACAACAACTGCTATCAACAAAATTACACAAATAATTTTTTTTTAAACAATTTGCGAAGATAACAGAATTGCTAATTTTGTTGCTGCCTAATTTGTTCCAAGAGATGACAAGTTTAAGTTTTATGCAAATTAAACTAATTTCCCCCACTGAAGTCACATGATTTACAAAAAATATTTGGAATTCCTTCATATTATATAATATATAATGAAATTATATCTATAAAACGAGTGTATGTTATTACACTTCCTACCGTCTTCTATACCGATGTTAAATTCGACTACATTTTACAATATAGTGTTGTTATTATCATTATTATCAAGTATACAGCATCATTGTTCGATCTATAGACTGAAAAAGAAATACAACTCAAGAGGAAAATAGGTATTATGTGAAACGAATAGGTGATATTACTGTCCATTACTGTCACCAAAGTGATCTAATATGCAATCTATGATCGTCGCACAGCTTGACAAAGGAAAAGCTATCAATAATAAATACTATATAGGATCAGTGTTTCATTTCAAGTAATGTAAATAAAAAAAAACCTTCCCAAATAAAGAAAAAAGCACACTTCCATCAAGATCATAAACCGGAAATATATAGCCAAAATCAAAGACCCATATATATACATATATATGTGTATTTATTATCAATGCATCATGTCATGCAAAGCATAGTCGATTCAGTATTTTATCTGGAAGTAAAATTAAATTTCTAGCTACGAGATTGATATATCCTCATATTAAAATATCAGTTTACCTTACCAACCTGATAAGTTTATAAATTTTGCTATGTCTCTAATAATAACAAAAGTTATGTTAAGACCTTAAGAAAAGGGTTAATAGTTGAAAATATTTTTAATTTTCAAAAAGTTATACATTGGCAAGGTGAAACAACTTTTAGCACTACCCATAGGAAACATTTATTGCGCTCAAATTTGCATAAAATAAGTGACTTAGACTAACAATTGTTATCTTATGGTATTCTCTTTTGAACAAACCTTAGGAGATCCGACAAATCTAGTTTGGTCATCTTTATCGAGTCAGTGAAGAAACGTGGTATAAGACATTGAAATCACTACGTCTGTAGTCTAAGACAAAAGCATAGAAAGTGAATAATGCATTATATCTCTTTTTTATTATGACAACTTCTTCATAATCCATTTGTTGTAAAACTCTACCATTAAAGTATCGGTTCAAAGACACAACCCCCCGTTAGTACTTTAGTAAGTACACGATTTACAGGTTTGCGAAAACCCAGATCTTATTTTATGGTTTGACATGCGATAAGAATGTACCTAGTCTTTTGGAATCGTTGAATTTATATCAAGTCGGGATTGGATATGTCATCTATAACTGATTGCCGTACATCATTGCAAAACCATTCAAAAGGAACAACATAAAATCCATTCTAGAAATAATCTAAAATCAAATCGTAATGTATTTAGTTGAGAACTGAATGAATAGTTATTAAACCAGGAGACACTCATACATGGCTAGTTCAATTCAATTAGTCGATTTGTTTAAGAATATATATATATATATATCTGTGTACTCTTTATACAGCCTCCATTCAATATATTTTAAAACATTTCAAATGTGTTAGTAAGTGAATACAGCAATTTGTACTTTATGAATGGAGGAAGTCATAAAATATTAATGTCTGAATGAAGGAATATTTATTATAAAAATATTTAAATATATATTTCTTTGTAAAAACTTAATGGCTGATTAAAATGTAGATATTTTTCAAAAAAAAACAAAATCTATTTGAATTTAGTTCAAATAGCAAACAATTTGAATGTTTTGCCATTTCGGCTCAGCTCCGTGGCTTGAGTTCAAACTTTGCACAGATCCATTTCCACAATGCACAAAGTAGAAAGTCCACATCGTTTGGATTGCCTCTAGTCGAAGTGTAAGTCGACACTTCATAAGTTGCAATTTGATATAAATAGTCGCAGCTAAAGCAACTATAAATAGTTTGCAAAAGAACAAGCGGAAGCGCAGCGCAATAAGTAAATTGCTTGCTATTAACTTTCAAAGAAAAGATACAATTGTGAAAGAAATGAAACTTATATAAAATTTGAACAATAAGAGAAGGCACAGGCAGAGGCAGAAGCAATAAAAGCTAAACAAAAAGAAATTCAGACTAAACCTACCTATGAGCTATACAAGCGGAGAAAATTCGGTATACAAAATAGAAAAATGAGCACCTACAACGGAGCTTTAATTACAAAAATATCACGAATAAAAAGAGTCTCATACATACATATATCCATGTCTTCAGTATAGAGAATATATATATATGTGTACATTTATGTAAAGTTAGGTCATGCAGCCTGAGCAGTAAAACGCTCAGCACACTTTCGAAGTGTGCTTAATTGAAGTGCTGAAGAATCGCGCGAACTCAAGAAGTCTGAACAAAGTCGGTGTTGGATTATATTACATATGTAGACTTCGCATATTCAACCGAAAAAAACACTTAACAACTGCGTTTATAACACACAAGCGATGGAAAGAGAAGGGAAGGGAAGGGAGACGTATGAGGCACGGTGTTATTTATCAAAAACCGAAATTCGCTGTTTTGCTTTGAAAGTGAAACTGTAGCAAATTGAAATAAATGCTAAAATAAAAATAAAATTCACATAAAATAACACACAAAGACTTTTTATATGAAAATAATTGAGGTATGCGTAATTTACATTTTGTTTATTTATTTATAACTTTTTAACGAAATACTAAATGACAACGTTAACACTAAAAAAAAAAATAATTGCATATTATATATAAATAAAGTACGGAAGCATAAGCACAGTTTAAGTTACTAGAGCCTGACTCATTTGCATACAGAATCTTGCTGCACTTTGCAATAGCAGAGATAAGTCGATGAAACATGCATAGGTTGGGAAATTCTTCAAGTTCGAATGACTGACTTTGTGACTCAAATCGACAACAAATCAACTTTTTAACAAAAAAATGTATGACAAGTAAGCAATTAACGGGCAGCAATTAATTGTGACAAATCACATACGAGATAACAGTAATCGTCAAGTGAACCCCAAACTTCTCTCTCCGAAAGAACTTAAAATTCATAGAGAAATATTAAGCTGACTTCTCTCCTTTATTCAAGTTATATTGAGAAAATTAACGTGAAAGTCTTGGATTATTGTGTAATAACCTATATCTTACTTGATATATTAAATAAACTTCTTTCTTGTACTAAGAAATATGCCTTGTGTTTATATTATTTAATTGGAAGATATTATTTATATCACGTTTTTTATTTATATGAAACTCAACAGTACATACTATTTTTAAAAAGAGTTTTTAAAAATTCAAACTAAAATAAATAATTTAATTAATTTAATACAACTTAAACAGAATAATTTAAAATTTGCTAATAAAAGCCATTCAATTGAAATCTGAGCTGATCTGACAGTAAATAATCACGTATTCCTATTCCTTCGCAAACTACAACTTCACACGTCATCTTTTCAATTGTCTCAAAATAAACAGCAATATGTTTTCCCATATCTTTCTTACATTCTCCTCTATTTATATTATCCTATTCCACACCATACTAATCTCACCACTCATCATTCATTATTCCACTACTAACATAATAATCTAATCACAACACTAATCTACTAACCTAAGCATATTTATTCTTTTCTTGGGATCTCCGGAACCCTTATTAAGTCCTACGCTAAGCATTTTTGACCGTATACTCGTATATGAGTTTATTTTCAGTAACAATGCATTATACAATAATAAACCGATTTCAATCATTTCAACAGATAGGCTGTCCAAAAAACATATTAAACCAGTCTAACAAGAAAATAAGAAAATATTGGAGTGCCCCATACTTCATACGAGTATAGTGACGTTTCAGTGGCTAGTATTTCTTCTTGGATACTTTTTCTTAGTAAATGTTGGGATACATTTGCTAAATTTCACATATTTGGTTCTTGACCCAAATACTCTGGCTCTAATACTATTTTCAGTTCTAGACATATTTGCGTACCATATGTTGGTGCGTTTCTAAAAAGATTTCAGTTATTGAATTAGTAGTCTAACTTCCACTGCAGATTAGAGAGCCATGCTAGAAGATTGAATTTTCCTTTCAAACATACCTGTCGCAGCTGTGGGGGTAGACGATAGGAGAATCTATCATCTACTCTGTCATTGCACAGCTCATGCACAATGGCAACTCAACACTTGAGGAGCCCCCTTTTCTTGAGGATCTTGATCAATTACAACAACTCCCACTAAACAGCATTCAAAGCTTCGTCAAAGGTTTTTGGTGATTTTAAACCCTGAGTTTCCTCTATATACAGTTACACAATAGGCCTAAGTGGATCACCCAGATATTGTCGGTATAACCTAACCTAAGTTGTTTAACTTAGTAATGCATCACAATTTTTTTTGTTCTGAACTCACATATGCACTATAGTATAATGTATTAAGATTGATATGTCTCATTAAACTAATTAAGAAGAAATATATTTTATATATACCATATCTTCTTGAATAAAATATCCTCTTCATATCTAATTTGTAAGTTCCACGCAGTTAACTGGAGTAACTTTACTCAATTATGTGTATGAATCTACTGAGAAACTACTCGTAGTAGTAAATATAATGGATATTTAAATACCATATATTATTATTTTTTTACCAACAAATAAACATTAATTAAATTTAAAATACAAAAATGAATAACTGGTAGTAAATGAGTAAACTAGTAGTAACTAGTAGCAAATAACTAGTTAACCAATGTCAGTGTGGCAGAGTATAATTATAGAGATTGTTGTTTATAGAACAGATTATAAGATATGTATCCATATGTCAAGTAAGCATTAGTTTAATAATATCTACTCATTCTTCACTCACTGATTAACGGCAGTCAATTTTTTATTTTAATATTTAAATAAAATAAAATACAGATTGTATTAAGAGGTGCATATGTACCTATTAAATATCACTTAAGTGATTTAATTTAATCTCAAGCTTACCGAACTAAGTGGAAAATAATCAAAACAGCCGATTTTGATGACTCAATGTCAAAAGATTATGGGACGTAATTGAGTATACAGAATGATAAATAGTAGTGCAACAGATTGTAGCTAAACCTTATATAGTTTAATTATGAATTGACGTAAAATAAATGTGAGAATAGAGCAACGTGTATTATGAATATAAGTAGGAGTGCACATATGTCACGTTCCTCAATTGGAAATTATTCGAAACGTGCTTATCACTTAACGCTACTCATTCTAATGTTATTGTTATTGTCAATCTTTGATAAGAAAGTAAGATTTGTGATTTGATTTGCAAGGATGAGATTTTTTTTTTAAATAAAATAGAGCGTAAATTATTTTCAATGTGATTCTACATTCTTCTGAATCAATTCAATCAATAACATGTGGAGTATACAAAGCTTATATCAGTTATATTATATTTAGTGCATAAATGACGTATCTGTCTCGTACTAACTAAACTAGTCACTAAAATAAAATAATGCTGTTATCAGAATTATATATATTTTTCAGATTGTCTTAATTACTTTCACTAAAGATATTTGTCAAGTTTTCGTTTACTGCTTATGATCTTAGAATTTTATAGAGGCTATATAAAAAAAAAAACTTTCAGACGCCTATAATATAGTAGTCACTCGTTTACAATAAGCAAGTGTCATTCACCTTAAGAATTTTAACAATTCATTCGAACATTGGAATGACTTAGGTTTATCCAACAGTTATCGTAATTGAAGCAATCAATACAGAAGGTGGACATGTACCAATCAATATGTTATTTTATTTTATGTTTTACTATAACTTTACTAACAGATGTAATAGATATAGAAGAAGACTAAAATTAAAAATTGCTGTGTGTAAGCAACGAAATAGATTTCTTCTCGATATGATATGACATATATACAAATTAAGAAATTATATGAAATCGTTTTGAAGATGAGGTATCCATAATACATTTGGATTAAGATCTATAACCAGCCACATAGCTATTAATCCGTAATAGAAGGGAATCACAAATCAAAAGGGCTAAAATTGGTATGTGTATTTAGACAAGAGTACAGCAAGCAATTTAAACATGACGAATAAAATTGTGATTGAGTAAATGAGGATAGTGAATTATTATTGTAGCCCGAAGATCTGCAGATATGATCTTTATGGGAGTTTAAAGCAGGACTTTGTCGTCATAGTTGAAGAATAGCTTTGGCGACTATTGGAACCGTTGCTGAGTAGTCATAGTTAATTAATGATGATATTGATGATCCTGATCCCTTGAGATACATACTGATCATGTTTCGTTTAAACAATCTAATCATGTCACCACATTATATTATAGAACAATCTTTAATCTTATTGTTGTATCCTCCGGCATACGGGGAAAATGCCATAGCTTTAAACTTTATATATATAATATAATTGTTATAAGTTTCTGTGTAACAACAAATTTAAAATGAGGTAAAATAAAGCTAATACTACTACTACTATATACTATATATTTTACTGATAATTTTTTTTCTATTAAAGAAATGTACGTTTGTTATAAGATCAAGAGTTTTTGAATTATTCTAGTATATCTTAGTCGCAAAATATTTTTTAATATGATTCACTTTGCTTTATAATCGTCAAGGTATTTTACATACCATACATACATAACGTGTACAGATAATTATGCATATATGTAAAAGTATATCAATATCTTTTGTTTTTAGTTCAAATTTAATCAGACTGATTAAAGTATAAAGCAAAATAAACAAAATAAATTAATTTCAACAAATTTTCTTACTAAAAAATTCTAGTTACTAAAATCGCAATCGTCACATATGTTAAACTAAGCAAATATAATCTCTTATCTGAAATGTAGTTAAAAAGCCCCTTCTCTACAACGCTTGAGTAGGTAAGGAGAGCGCGACTCAGAAGTGCTTTACGATAGTTCCCGCTAATAATGAAATAATGGAATAATGGAATGATGAAGAATGATGGACAAAGAATTATGCAAAATAAAAAATTATGAAGCCGCAACGGGAAAAAACTTGTTTGCTTGTATTTATTGTATTTCTGAGATAAACTTATTTGAATGTTTGAATGATTGAATGGCACTGAGAAGAATGAGCAATGGCGCAGATATTTCGCAAAATACATAAAAGATAAACAAAACACATAAGATTTAGTCAGTATTGTCAGCTTACCATTTCGAAATATGTTAAAAAGTTTTGCCAATCCTTTTCGTTGCCAAACACTCCACCACTCCCTATTTTGCTGTTCCTGTTCCCCATTGCCATCGCCGTCGCCATCGCCGCATCCCCCACGTAACGCCGGCCGAGCCGACAGCACTCATCAGTTGGGCGTGTGACTAGAGTTGAGTGCTGACACCGATGTTGCCGAATCGTCAGCAGAGATTGTATTATCGCCATAAAAGCGCGGCTCATCATGCATCTCGGCGCCAGCGCCACTCTCGTCGTCAGAGTCATCGTCACCCGAGCTGTCAGCTAACTTTCCAGTTCCGCCAGTACTGCTCACATTCGATAATTGTGAATTGCTCGCCATTGGCGTTTTGGACGATTCATCTTTGACTACTTTGCTGAGACGTTCATAGCAAGCCGTACACACACGCAATGGCTTCGAACTCTGCTGTGGCAGTAGGAATTTCTTCGACGAACATGGACCACAAACGACTGCACCGCAATTCCGGCAATGATGACGTCGCACAATCATTGTGAACTGCGTCTTTTTACAGTGCATGCAGACAGTTGCCTCCGCATCCGGAACCCAAACGGCTGCGTGCTTCTCAACAGGTTTCTTTCCACTTTTGCGCAAAAGATCCTCGACGCATTTGTTTATATGTGCCATCCACTCCTGTTTCTCGGTGATTGTTGCAGCATAGACCACAAACGACTTTGTTGTTGTTCGTATCAACCAGCCATTGTGGTATTGGCCATTGTCCTCGAGCGATTCCAATGATACTTCTTCGAGCGGCATGATATGTTGTTTATTATATTTTTTCTTGCCAATCACGATGTTTCCGTACACGAGTATGTCGTTAAAGAGAAAAAATTGACGCGATTTCGGACGTTTACGGCACATTTTTGTTAACACACCCTCGCCCACAAGCACGCGTCCAGGTATTGCCAAAGGCACGCCAGAACTGCCAAAGCAGCTCTCCACGGCCGCTATGCGCCGAGTATTCGCCTCAGAGTTAACCAAACGATCGACCATGGCTAATGCACTGCCTACTCAAACAAAAATAAAAACAACCGACAGCGAGTGTGGCTGACGAACGATTCAATTCCTTAATAATTTTTCTGGTCCAAAGGTTTTTGTATTTTGCTTTCTGCTATCCGTATTTTATTTAATTTTTATATAATTTTCAATGTTTTCTCATTACGAGCGGAATTTTTTTTTGTAGCGCGTATAATTTTTTTAGTTAATTTTTCATTAAATTATTTTCTGTTAAATAATTTTCAACAATTCTTCTTTCGAAAATAATGTCGTGTCACACTCAATTTCAAAGCAAAAATGCTCAAAGCAACAGAAAATATAACTACGGCAGTATTTTTCTTTCCGTATTATTTCTGCTTTTCACACTCAAATCTTGTACTTTTACACTCAAACTTGACATTTGTCATTAAGTGTTGCCTACCTTTTTAATTTTTATTTTACTCGCTTTTGCTTTATTTTTGCGTCTCTTGTAATGTTTTGGTTTGAGTTAATTACGATTCTTATATTCGTTTTCATGAATCACCTATTTTAATAATTTATGATCGTTTGCATATTTTTGTGATCGAAAGTTCACATTAACTTGTCAAGTTGATTATTTTTTAATAGAATTTTTATTAATATAAAGTATACATTGAATGTATACGCAAAATATCAAAAATACATGAAAAATATTTACATGTTGCAACAACGAAATACACTCAAAGTTTGAAGAAAGTGCAGAAAGAAAAATAAAACCGATTGGCGAAATGCAAAAGGCAAAAGCAACAGACCAAAAAAAGTACTCAAACAGAGTCAAGTGTAAAATTAACCAACGAAATGCGAAACTTTCTGGAATATGCCGAACTCCGTTGATCGCTAATTAAAAACTAATGACATAAAATACAACCATTTTATATGAACTCATATAAGCAAAAGAGCAAAGGTGCTTATTACCAAACCATTAGCATTAAAAATATATATGCTAACTTTATAATTATATCTAATTATGTCTATACACCGTATATGTCAATATTTATATGTCATAAATATCCATACAAAATAGGCCTATTATTAATTTAAAATAAAAAGTTGCATATATTTCCCTATATATATATTATCTACTTGTATATGAATCGATAACGTAAATTATATATCGTATATATCTAACTTTTAATATAATAAATATAAGATTTATAAATAGAAGATGTATATATAGTCATTAAGAAGCATGAACCTTATCTTAATATTAAAGTTACTCGACTTAGTGTAGATGAGCACCTGGTGCACAATTTATATATCTGATTTAAATTCTGCATTGGATTGTTCAAGAACAGATTACTGGCGAAAATACAACTTCGAATAGAAATATTACATGTGATATAAGTTAAGCTGTATCTGAAAGTTATATACATATGTGTTTGTAAAAATTCAAATGTCAGAAGTAGAATGTATGCAGCAACTTAGGTGATAATTTCAAGACTATTGTTAAATTTTAAATATATTATTTATAATATCACTTCAATAATTTGGACAAGACATTTCATAAATTTACAAACGAACTACGAAAACAAACGAACAAGCACAAATGTTTCTATCAACCACTTCGTCAATTCGTTTGTTTTATTCTTACAATTTCTACCTGTTTGCGGCGCTCCTCCATTCTTTGCTCTAAACCCTCATCATAATGCTTGCGTTCTTGTCGTCGTTTATCTGACTGTAGATTAAATGGACGCTGTTCTACTACTGTTATGGTCTTTTTTGGTACAAATGGTTCTTCTCTTAGTACAACCGGTGACCTATACTCGAATTTAGGTGGTCGTTGTTGACGTTTAAATATTTCTAACTGGAAAAAGACAATTAGATTTTTTCAAAAAAGAAACATGCATTTCAAACCTTATTCATTTTTTTCTCCATCATTTCGCGAGAATGCTTTAAAACGTCTGGTGACTGTGGCACTGTTATCGCATGCACTATATGGTTTTCTAGCTTTGCGTGAGCTGCTTTAAAATTAGGTACAGGTCGGCTATGGAATTGACGGTTCTTACGCTCATTTTCTATGCATATGCGTAATTTTTCTTCCTTTTTTTTCTGATAAATATCCTTATAACTGTATAGATCTCTTAATCTGCTCGATGCATTTTCATGCTGAGTCGCTCCTTGTTTTTGAAAGGACCATTCGAGAACAATATTGCTAAGTTTTTTTGTTACATCGAGACTAGAATTGGGTGATTGCTGCATATCTGATTTGGATTGACTACTTGGTTCAATTTCATTTAAACCATGTAACTTATTTACGTTAGAATCCGTTTCAAATGTAATATTGGCTGCAGACGAATCTTCCACATTAATTTGTAATGTATTATGTTCATATTTAGAGGCATTTTCTTTGTTTTCTTCAATTAACCCGACTTTAGGTGTGTCATTGAGTGAAGTGACATCGAATTGGCTCACAATATTGTCCAGATTATTGGATGGTATGTATGGACTAGTCTTTGTTGATTTCTGAATATTTCGTTTGGTAGAAGACCGAGATGTGTTTGTTTCAATTTCATTTAAAACTAATGCATCTGCAGTATTCTGCATATTTGCAGTTGATTCTTTTTTAATATTAATGTTGATTGTAGGCGATTCGTTCATATTACTTCTGCCAATATTATCTTCAAACTTATATGCGTTTTCTTTGTTTTCTTTAATTAATTCGGGGCTGAATGTGTCGTTAAATGAAGCCGTTGCTAAATACAATAAACTTTTGTTATAAATACAATTTTGTGGTATAATATTGTTAACTTACACATTTTTAACATATATATTTTTATTTATTCTTTATTGTTAATTATTTCATTATTTTCGTGCTTGGCTGCTATAAATATTGAATGTATACTAGCTTTTATATTACAAATAACAATATATTACAACAAAAGTGTTTAGTTTTGAAATTTGCACGCTCTATAAGAATATTGTTAATAAATATCTTACGAAGAAAATAATACTCTTCTATAACTATTGTTGTTGTTTGTTAATGTCAAAAGCGAAGCGAAAAAACGGCAATTTTCAAACAATACTCAGCAGCGCGAAAATCATGAAAACCAATTTAAACATAATAAGTGTGAATGAAAATAAAAATTCTTTGGAATTTAAGAATATGGTAGAAAAGGTTAGATATATTTTGAACAGCTCTCGAAATGAATCAACAGGGTTGCATTTTTCACTGCATGAAAATTAGAAAACATAGAAATAATTTCCATTGCAGTTGTTAAATAAATATTTTTAATTCTTTTTATTACTAATTATAAATTCCATTCACGAAGTAGTAGTGTTTTGTTTAATTACATATCTATGTTAGAAACTTTAATTGAATTTTACATGTATTAAAGTTTTTTCTAAAAATTTAAAATCTAAGTTTTTGATTTTACATCTAATGAATTGTGAGAAAAATGGAATATAATAAAAAGAGCCACTACGTGATTTTCTTAAGAGAATATAAAAATCAAAACTTTTTGTTTTTGCATTAACACGTCTTAAATAGAAATTTTTATTTATCTACATTTCGCTGTTAAAATACATTTACCCTATCACAATTAACTCCATAAATATGCACCAGTGGGTGCCAACTTCGTATGAGTTCATATAAAACTGTATTACTAAAGTTATTTGTTACTGTTAAAGTTACTGTTAATTATAAGTGTAAACATAATAGAAGTAGTAGAAGAAGAACTGTTTTTATTAAGTTTATAGTAATTCAGTGATATTTTGTATACATATACTTAACTACGAACTTAAGGCAATGACTGATATATGCTTATACTTATGTAAACATAATATTCAGCGCTTTGTTTAAATAATAAAAATATTTTTTATTATACTTCTTTGCTATCATATCAAGTATTTGTTGACACACATATTCTCACACATATTTAGGCCGTGTACGACTTCGTGTGAATTGAGATAAACTGAATTGAAATTTCTTAGGGATTTTTTGCACTGCATTTATGTAAATATTTATTTATTTATTTATTGCACTTATTTATTATTTTTGGTTAAAAATTTTCAAACTTTATTTATTTATTTATTAAAAATCTTATAAAATGTTCACAATGGCAACACCTAATTTATCTAATTTTTAGCTAATTTACCCTACTCGAAATTCTGGTAAATAACAACATTCGCTACCACATCGACATAATTTACTATTTCCCTCAATTTACCATCAATTTACTTAAACTCGCACACGGCCTTAATTATTGATCACTAATAACTATGTTTTATACATTTTTTTTGAATGCATTCTTTCTTTGCTGTTATTTTTGAAAAATTTCATTGAAAAACCGAAATTTGAAATCAGAAGGCAACATTTCAAGGCCAAACCTTCGTAATAGCATTGCATTGCAGTGCATAGCAGTGCAACAGAAATCCCAAACCACAAGCCAAACAAAGCCGCAAAAAGTTTTTATGCTTGATGTGCACAGACTGAGTTTGGCACAAAGCTTAACACTGCGCTGATAAGAAACAATTACTGCGTATGCTTCCCCTCGTTTGGAATTGTTCCTACTTTTGGCTGGCGCCACTTCGTCTCATATAAACAAAAATAGCCAAATGCACATCTCCACAAACACGGCTGAAAGTGTGCTGTTATAGAGCTTTCAACTCAAAAGCTTTTCTGTCACAACGGAAGAGCTAACCAGTTGCTTAAACACATGCCAACGGTAAACAAATCCAAAGCTACACACTTCATTCAGTTCACTGATAACAACGCAACGCAACAGGTCTGCGGCGCGGAAGGATAACAGGCAAAATTCGACGTAAGAACAGAAATGAAGAAGGCGAAAGTGATTTTCATATAATTTTCTATATGAAATAATTCTTTTCGAAAGATTGTTTGTTTATTAATTGATTAATTGATTTGAGTGCAGACAAAAAAAAGAACAAATACTCACACTCATGAAAATATCCTTGCACGCATTGGCAGCATAGCACAGCATGTAACCAGCGTTTAGAGTGCGTCCATGGTCAGTGGAAGGCAGTCAGACAAGCATTGTGCATGATATGCTGCTGCTGATTAAACATGCTCGATGTGTTCTAAAAAGGACTTTTTATTTTTTTATGTGTGTAAGTGCGTCAGTGTGTGTTTGTGCACTTATGATTTTGTGCTGATTTTGTTATAATTAAAGAAAATACGATTTACTCAGATAAAAAAAAAAATAAAAACAAAACCCAAATAAACTTAGCGCTTCTACGGGAGCTTTATACGCATTTTGTAATTTTATTAACAAAGTTTTATTGTTTTGCCATAATCGCAGGCGAGGCACGTGTGCGAAATTAAACGGAAGTGCCATAATTAAGGAAAGTGCATATACCACCCCCTCGTACGTTCTAGAAAGGAAACACAACGAAAGACTATTGAAACTATTAAAAGAAAAATAAATTCATTAGGACTCATTAAAAGATTTACGTGTGTCATTGCAATAAAATCCAATGGGAATTATCCAACGCCACATATGAAAAGTCAAGACTTTTGCTACATTTTGTTATCAATTAAACAAAAGATACTGCCTTAATATAATAACCAGGACATCAAGGACATTGCGTAATTGACGTATCTAGAAAATTATTCTCAATTATCTTCAATTGTAAGTTGATTGGTTTTAATTGGAAATTTAATAGTTTCAAAATTCTGCATCATTTTTGCACAACTGCAGATAATGCAGTTGAATATATAAAATAATTTCCCATTAATTATATAATTATTAATTATTGTAATTATTATTATTAATTATGAAAATATTTCTTACATTTCAACTATGGCCGTGTGCGAGTTCGAGTAAATTGATGATGAATTGAGGGAAATAGTAAATTATGTCGGTATGACAGCGAATGTTTTTATTTACCAGATTTCGAGTAGGGTAAATTAGATAAAAATTAAGTAAATTAGGTGTTACCATTGTAAAAAATTTTATAAAATGTTTAATAAATAAATAAATAAATTTAAAAATTTTTAACAAAAAATAATAAATAAGTGCAATAAATAAATTTACATAAGTGCAGTGCAAAAAATACCTGGGAAATTTCAATTTACTTATCTCAATTTACTCGAAAATACTTTCCCATTAATTATATTATTATTGTAATTATTATTATTAATTATGAAAATATTTCTTACATATAAAACACATTGTGTTATTTTAAATTTTCTATAACTTAAGTTTCATAATATATTTCTATATGCATTTCTAGTGTTATTATAGATATAAAATAATTAATGTATTTATTTATTTAAATATGAAATATTGCTACAACTCTTTAATTTTTGCTTAAAATAATTTATTGGTAAAATAAAATCAAAGTCCTTGACTACAAATCAAAATTCGTAGTTGGATTCCTGGAATTTTCGGAAAAAGCGAAATATTTTATTTGGAATTAAAATTTTATTCGTAGAAAATGTTGAAAGCTTTCTCTACTGACTTAATTCATATACAATATATATTATCTTCTACCTGTCAAACTGCTTTTTTTCAATAAAATAAAAAATTAAAAAAATACAAGATATGCGGATTTAACGGATTTCACTTAAAGTTGTCTGTGTTCATTATTTAATCTGTATACCAGTTTAAAACCGTTTAAAAATTTTGAAACATATCCTTAAGAGTTTTGAATAATTTTAATTAAGGTTATCTATTTTTTCTCAATTTTCTATTATTAAGTAATAATATATCTTACAACAGATAATTTAACTTAAAGTTCATCATGTGAAGTCGGTATTATGTCGATTTGCATTAGAAACTTCTTACCATGTAATAAACATTTTTTGCTGAGAGCTCTGACAATTTTCTTATAAAATAGTTTAATTCCTACCTCTCGCGTGTTTGGGAGAAGTATCAAATATAAGGGAATTATGAAAAATGTCCAAAAATTCACCAAACATAACTACATGATATCGAAAAGCGACGCCTTCCCCGTGCAGGAAAAACTATCCTAGCTGAATTGACATCAAGGTATAGATATATAGTTATATACAGTTAGTTATCACGCTTTACCTCCTATGATGTAGCACACCTATATTCCTGCCCACAACGTACCTACACCTTAAACCCTATTTATAGGGTCTAAGACCCTAATGCACTGTAAGCAGAGTAGTATAAGAAAAATTTTAAGGAAAGCAAGAAATTTTTGCTTATGAAGCAGCCATTTTTTACAAGTCATATAAGCGTAAGATACTCTTAATTGCTGTAGGATAACCACAATTGCAGAGCATTTGAATTCTTTGTTGGTTTATTCAAGAATAGAGTATTAACTGGACTATTGACTATACACTATAGGCTTAAGGGTTATTTCAGTAACATAGGTATTTCAACAAGTTTCAAGTACAGATGACGCGATTTAATAATTAATTTGTCAAAGCACACACTGGTGCTTTGGTGTACTACTAGACCATCGACAAAAATACCTGAGATCCCAGTTAATAACAAACATAAAGTTAGCAACGCTATTATTATGACATATATTCTCCAATTTTTAAATCAACAGGACTAAATAATATTTTATTTAAGACTTATTCTTTACTAAATGATTACCCAATATAACTTTTGATTGCAGTACTCCATAGATCTCCTGTTATGTTATATTGGGACTTTCAGATTGTGCAGACTGTTTAATCCAGGTGGTAGTAAACTTACATATATTCCGATTTATTACAGTTAGTAATCCTATACCTACATATTTTCAAATCCAATATAAAAAAGTATCCCAATTTATAATACTTTATTTCTTATTAATATCATTTGATTTTGGCTTCGATCTTATTCAGTTTAAGCATGTGAAAAAATGTTCTAACTTATTCTAACTTATTATCAATAATTAATTTCTAGCAGCTCGTGGGACTTCAAATTCCTTTTGTCTAGAAGAATATTGCATATATTGTGCCTTATAATTTTCAAATCTCGCAAATCAAGAATAAGTTCGGGGTCTTGTTTTACAGAACATTTCACTTTGTAGGACTACGTAAGCATGAAATCTGCTTTTATATCCCAAATTTATTCCATTTATCCTTTGTTAATCAATTAAATCTAATAATCTGGAGCACTTTATAAAATAAGTCTATTCTAAATCAAATTTAAACTTTAATTGACAAAAACTAATATAAAACTTATGTATTTCCCTAGAAACAAACTCTTTGAAACAGAATAGGAAATTACTTCAAACTTATTTAGTAGGAAAATTTGATTTAATCCCTTTTGAAACAGTTTTCAATACTAAAGGTGTTCATAAGTACCATCAGTTTCCAATAATTTAATTTAAAGTTTCTCCAAACTTAAAACGCCACTGTTGGTGTCCTGCTCAGAATTCCAAGTGCGTCGTCGTCAGTATGCTAATTTCATTGTGTTTTTCTCAATGATATTTTGTGTTCCTCTTATCCGTGTCTGTGACTTTCTGGCCATTGTTGTTAAGAATTTTTCAACTTTTTAAGTTCCGTTAACAAGAATTTCAAGTTTTGCTATTTATTGGCTATTATTGTTAAAAAATTTCTTTTCATTTTATGCTTTGTAAATTTTTACATATTTTTAAGTATGAATGCCGCCTGCAGTCCTCAAGAAGATTTCCATGTTTCAAATAACCCAGAAACTTCAACAAGTGACTTAAATGAACTTAAAGTTTTTTGCTAATTATTTTCATTTATTTACTTTTAAAATTTCTCTAGCGAAGCTTAAATGATTAATGTTAAATTATCTTTACTTTCACATTACGAAACATTAAACTTAAGTTATAGCCCTTTAAGTGCTCATCACTCAGAACTCAGAACAGTCCTTACTTTCTATTAACTAAAAGCAGTAATAAAATTATGTGAGGAACTTCTTCAGAAAACATAATAAGTCCTTTAAAATGAAACATAATTTTAATGAATTTCATGTTTATAATTTACGGTTATTTATTTAGTATTTTATGTTTTGTAACACTCCCGTCCTCCACCCACTCCACTCCACTCCACCTTCCCTCTCATCCCATCCTTCAAACAATGATTGATGTAACGGCTTTGCCATAAAAGCCAGCAAATGCATAAAATAAATTTTAAGATTGTGTAAAATATAATCAAACAAGAACATAAACAAACGCACGTAGCATCAATCCTTAATATGTTTGAAGGATTATTAACCGAAACCCTAATATAAAAAACGTGGATGTATAGAAAATAAAAATTTGCTCTTATCATACGCACAGATAATAAACTACAAGAGCACGTCAGATGATGATTTAGAGGATGTCATAAATAATATTTCGAAATGAGCAAGTATTGCAGGATCTCATCCTTAGAATATTTGGGTTAAATGAGTCTTAATACCTAAAAATTACAAATTTAGAAAAGTAAAAAAATACTTTTTTAAGTTCACTCGTTAACGAGAGTTCTGTTTTTAATAAAAGTTCGATAATTGAAAATGTATGAACAAAATCCTCTAATCCTTAGTTGGAAAAATGAGGCAAATTAAATATTTACAATCCCTCTTAACGTCTTGTGGTAAACATCCCATTTAAAATATTTAAATTTATGACTTTATGACAGTCAGTTGACCTTTTTACTCAGGCCCAAAAGATAATCTTATCCCAATCACTAAAATTTGAGAGAGGATATCCTGTAGACTGGCGGCAGACGGCTGAAATGCCATAGCTGCATGCTTTATATATATAATATAATTGTTATAAGTTTATATGTAATACAGCAAATTTTAAATGAAGCTAAATACTACTGCTCACTCCTATAGACTGAAGCCTAGAAATATAAAACCTAAAAATATTTTATGCCAACTCCAATCAATTAAAATGTTCTTAATTGTTTATTTATTTAGAAATTTTTTTATTTCAAATTATTATTTTAAATAAAATTAAATTCTGACTCTACAGATAATTAACTGCCACAGCTTTTTATTTATATTTTAACTACATTCATTTCAAACTAACCTGAACACAATTCGATTAAAAGTATCTATTGGAGAACCTCACATAATATAAAATGCACAAGCAATGCGCCATTAGAAGGAATAACATCATAGTGATATACCCAGCAACAAATATTTGTAGTCCAGAAAATAAATATAAATGTAGATTCCTTCCATTCATACATTAATTAATGTTTATCTTTTCTATCTATAAATAAAATATTAAATTTAATTTTAACGTCAATGTGACAGTAGTAACTATTTTTACTTAATGGAAACTATGGTATTAAATGGAGTGGTTTCGAAAAGTGATGGACTACAACAATAAAAATTCTTTTTATATTATTTTATATTATAAAATACAGCAAGTGAATTTATTAATGAATTTTCAAAGCAAATTAACAAAAAACTTCAAGCTCGAAGGTGTATAAGTCAAGTATGGGTTTAAGAACACTGACTCTGAGCTTCAAATTTGGCAGGGCACGAATTCAACCCTTGGTACTTACACTCTCAAAAAATTATTTACAAAAAATTGAAAACAAGAAATAATTTCAAAACCATTGATGATGGATATTTGGCAATACTCGAAGAAACTGTATGGTAAGCCAAAAATTCAATTAATTAAAGTAATATAAAAAAAATATTTGTTGTTGTAGTTTACTACTTTTCGAAACCTCTCTATAAATGAAATATTAATAAAAATT